TCTGGAATATGGAGAGGAGGTGTTATATGGATTCCAATGCTGTGCAAAGGTTAGATTAGATTTGAACTAATTATTTTTCCATTTAATAGTTTTGGAACTTTTCAGCCATGAATCAACCATCAACTCTGCTGCAAAGACAGTGTGCATATATGTGTTTTTGTTTATCTGATAAAATGTGGCCAGTTTTTAGACCAACTGGTAGAAATTTTGGTTATAAAAATCATTACCAGTAAAGCCTAATATATTGAGTATGTTACATACAGTTTCACAAATAAACATAATAGGTTACTGACCTTTTTTAATGGTATTTATGTTTTAATAGTTTGCAATACACTGTTACATATTCAAGACAAGTAATTCAAAAAATTTCTTAAAACATTGAAATTTTCCTAGTTTTGCATAGAGATTCAGTTATACTCGATATATACATATAAGGACAAAATAGATTCTCAAAAATAAAACATTTTTGACTCCCGTGTGCAAAGTACAAAAGGGAGTCTTTGCAGCTACCCTGTCTGTATGTATGTATGTCTGTATGTATGTCTGTATGTATGTATGTATGTCACTTTTTATCTCAAGAACCACTAATCAAATTTCGATGAAACTTGGTACATAGATGCTCTGGGATAATGCGCAGAGTTGATTAGGTTTTGGTAAAAATCCATGAATATTAATTACCTAATTTACATAATAATTAGCTGATTTTTAGCTGTTCCATGACTGTTCCACTGATATCTGAAGAACCACTCGTTGGATTTTGATGAAACTTATCACATGGATACTCTGAACTAATGCACAGATTTGATTAATTTTGGGTAAAAACCCTTGAATATTAATTACCTAATTTGCATGATAATTAACTGATTTTAAGCTGTTCTAAGACTGTTCCACTGATATTTGAAGAACCACTCATTGGATTTTGATAAAACTTGGCGCATGGATGCTCTGAACTAATGCGCAGATTTGATTAGTTTTGGGTACCTAATTTGCATAATGATTAATCAATTTTTGGCTTTTCAACTGTTATCTCAAGTACTAATCATAACATTTCAATAAAACTTGGTACATAGATGTCATATGACACTTCACAGACCTGATAGTTTTTAGGGTAATATCAGTACATATTAATTACCTAATTTGCATAATTAATTAATTTTCAGCTTTTCATATTTCAAGTAGGAATCATCACATTTCAATGAAACCTGGTACATAGTTACTTGAGGACTGTGCAGAGACCTAATTAGATTTTGGGTAAATATTTGTGCATAATAATCACCTTATTAGCATAATTAATTAATTTTCAGCTTTTCACCTGATATCTCATATCTCATCACATTTCAATGAGACTTGTGACATAGACCTTCTAGGACTATGCAG